ATGAATAATAATGAAATGAAAGGTACATGGAACGGACTCAGAAGGATTGTCTGGTTAGTTGATAAATCTTGTTCTTCGGAAGTATGGCGATGGTTGATAATGCGCGGTAGAGCTGAAAAGGATGGCTGCGACAGTTAACAGACTGCGTGACGATAACTGATGATGTACGCATAATGCTTCAGCAACACCCGGGGAACACAATCGTGGTCACGAACTGAGTTTTTATCGTGTGTATTAAAACAAGCTGTACAACAATCTCATATAAAACTAGATAGAAAAGTGAAATCCTACAGTTCCTCACTTCTGGAGTGAAATTGCAAACGGAATACTCCACGAGGCATGGGTAACAGCGAACAGTTGAAGAAACCGAGCAGAAAATGCACTTTTCTACCAAGACGTGTAGTACGTGGAATGGTTGGAGTTGTCAATGCCCGTGTAGAAGGTGGGCTAGTGGGAGAAGCGTGTCTTGTGTCTGTTGGATTACTTGGTGTGGGTGGTGGATGTATCGGGGATAACGGGAACAGCGTGTTCAGTTTGTGGTTGGTAAATCGAATGATGAGTCGAGCTATGCGTGTTTTAAATGGTCGATGTTTACTGAGTCACGCGATCCAAATGAAAAATCACTCTATATGTCCGGTGTATGGTGCTTGGAGTGGGCAACGTGTAGCGTCGCAGCGAATGAAAACGTGGCTACATGTGTGCAAATCATCAGGCACTTTTCCAGTCCGCTTGTGATGGCGTGTTGGATTGGAATTTTTAAGCACCATATAGTCTCGCAATCGTTCGGCAACCGTCGATAGAGAAAAAGGGGTTGACGATGGGGTTTAAAGCAAATCACATGGTTGACGAAGGCTAGTTTTGTTCTGCCGCTGTACACCCGAGGTCTTCTTTGATAACAGAGCGAATGCTCAGGATGATGACTGGAAGACGTTCGGTCCAGCGAGGATCTTCCTAAGCGCGAAGTTAGGCTTTGAGTTGTCGGTGAAAACTTTTAACTAAGCCGTTGGCTGCGGTGTGGTAGGCAATGGTGCGAATATGTTTGCAAACAAGCAGCCGCGTGAAATCACGAAAGAACGCAGATTGAAATTGAGCGCCTCTCTCTGTGGTGACATTGTGGGGAACACCGTAATGGGAAATCCAGTGTGACAGTAAATGTGCGACGGACTCAGAGGAAATGTCTGCCAGGTGAACGGCAACCGGCCAATGTGCGAAACGTTCGACACATGTGAACAGATGTCTTGCCATATAAAGAAGGAAGTGGGCCAACACCTAGGGAGAGGTTCAACGCGAGTGAGAACAACAGCGAAACAATATGGCGTATACTGGTCCCAAGGTCAATTCATTAAAACAAATTAAAATCAAACTTGTTAAAATACGATTATCAGGGATGTATTTAATAAAAAATAAAGTACTTATAAGTAAATACGATAATTGAGTACAGTTTAGTGGGTCAAAAACACTGCAAATGCAGAATATAACACACTAAATAAGTCAATTTCTACGAAATGAAAAACAGTTTATTTATGGAAAATGGTTGATTGTATCTTGAATTTTTGGTACAAAATCGACTATTTCGATTTTTTCCAAGTCATATGCACAATCAGTTTTGAATTCCATGAAGTATTTATCGACATGCCCCCCCGTGACGAAACGGTGACTCTCGAGTGTACCCCTGTGCTGACTGGGAAGGACAATGTGAACATGAGGAAAACACGCAACTGGGACGGTGAAATAAGCTGGGTATGAAACAGTTTGGCAATGAATTTTATTTCGTTGGCACTGTAAACAGTATTTTGCCCAATATCAGACCTCGTTGTTCATACTGGGTCCAATGACCACAGGTGTCACACTGTATGCTCTCTACAACTCGTTTTCCACACTTTACCCTGAGACACGTATAGGAGACACGTGGCATTGGTAATAAATAATACGTATAAACGGGTTAGTGATTGATAGTTAAGCAAGCTAATCCACAAACCATGAAATAAAGTTAAAAATTTATTGTTAGGTTACTGGCAGGTAGAGCGAGGTCAACGTTTACTTTTTAGGTAACGGTAACTGTGGCTCTGTAAATACCACTGATTGTTCACGTAAACCAATAAACTGATTTGCCTTTAGCTGATAATAACAGAACAATTTAACAACAGTGGCAAGAGCAGCGAAGAATACAATCGAAATCGAACATACCGCCAAGGTCAGGTTGCTCAGAACTGAATATGGCTACGGCCAATCAAGCGTCCGCAAATCCTTCAATGGTATGCTTACTACGTGGCCACCCAGCTCTGCTGGAACAAGAATGAGAAATAGGATCTCATCTCACCAAGTTAGCAAGTGTCCTAGATCCACTACTTTTTTCCATACATCAACGAACTCAGCACCGACCTGGAAAACCGCTGCTACAAGTTTGCAGATAATGTGAAAATCGACGGGGAGTCTGCATTAGAGTCGGCTCAGAAGGATCTTGAGAAAATACACGCGTGGTCAATTACTGGGACCTGCCTTTGAATGCCCTGAAATGTCAACAGCTGGTTAGAAATGGAGTCATGCAAGGTGGTAGGACCCTGGGACCCCCGGACCAGTTCCAACAGATACCCACGGTAACTATAGTCCGAGACCTAGATGTCCTTGGTAGTGCGGAATTCAAGCCTGGACAAGAGTGCTGAGAGGCAGCAACCGGGGCAGCCAGAGCCTTACATCAACTAAGACGTGTTGTAAGCTCTAGGAAACCCGAAGTCTTGTTCCCTCTTTACAAGGCTTATGTGCACCCGCACCTCGAATACTCCGTCCAGGCTTGGAGCCCGTTTCTGATCCAGAACATGAAAACGCTAGAATCAGTGCGACGTCGCTTTGTAATGTTTTACTTTTCTATCCACTTTATCTGACCTGATTGTACAGCTTGTTTTAATATGCGCAGCACCTAACACACAGTACAAAATTCCGTTCGTAAATACGCACGTGTTCTCCGAGTGTTGCTGAAGAATTACGCAATCATTATCAGTTATCGTCAAGCGGTCCGTTAACTGTCGCAGTCATCCATTTCAGCTCCTCTACACCTCATCGACCGGAACCATACATCACAAGAACAGGATCAATCGACCAGCGGACAATCCTCCTGTGAGTCCGTTCCTTGTACCGTTTATTTTATTATTATTCATATATGTATTATCTTCTCCACTACAGCTTCACCAAATTGTTTGCGGGCTTAAGACGTCTATCTTACGAGAGGCGTCTCGAAGCCTTATACATTTTCTCATTGAGAAGGCGTAGACGACGCGGGAACTTGATTGAAGCGTTCAAGATCCTGAGAGGGTTTATGGACGTACCAGGTGAAGCGCTGTTCAAGCTCAGTGAAACAACGAACCTGAGAGGGCACGCTCCAAAATTGGGTAAAGATGGAGTGCGGAATCGGCTTAGAGCGTCCTCATTCACAACGAGAGTTGTGAATGATTGGAATAGACTGCCTGATGAAATCATTGCTGCCAAATCGACAACAGACTTCAACAGCAGACTAGACATGGTATGAACCAGGGTGTTCAAAGGGAGTGGGGACTGAGTGGAACAGTTTGGATAAAGCTGATTTGGGACCGCTATCCATTTATTGCTAAAACCTCCGCCATCCACGTCTTCCTCTCCACTTTATTTACTCTTCTCCCAACCTCTCTAGAAGCTCTATACTTAGCCTTTACTTATCATCTACCTCCAGTAGATACCTCTACCTCTTAGTTCCAATGGATGGTCTGTTCGTTCCATGAGTCTGTCGTCCGCTCGAGGAGAAATTTGAAATAGATAAACCACAGGAGCGAATGATACTGCTGTATACAAATACTTGCTGTGTCAGAAACAATAGGCCGAGATTCTGATTGCAGTGGAGACCCATAAAGCTACCGCTTTAGCTATACCAACAGCCTGGCTCTCATAGAGTAATCCCATCCCGAGAGTAGCTCAAGATAAATTTGTTACCTACAAAACGGATAAGAGTAGCTCTGTACAAGGAGGAGGAGTAGCCAGTGTTCTAAGACCTCACTTTTGCTCAGTAGAATCGAATACTAAGATTTCCACTCCCAATGTGCAACTATTTACAGTGGATCTTATCATAAACAGCAGAAAAATATCCATTGCCTGTGTACATAGGGGTTATAGTGCCACACAACCGGAGGACTATCCAGGCACTAGACAACCCAGCTCGAAACTCCCAAGCTCATTGGTGAATAAACTGGGCTGCTTCTGGTTCCGGCGCAAGTCCTGTGACCTGTTCTGTCCTGCCCATTCAGTTACTGAAGATAAGTTGTATCAAAGGAACGCTTGGTTGTCAAACCACCACGAGAACACGGATCCCGGAGTGTAACAACCTGGACACATTGTCTAGAGCCAAAAGTCCTGTGACTTGACCTGACCTGAACTGACCTAACTTTCCGAGCTTCGGGTTCCCAGATGGCTTGGATGCAGTGCATGAGACATCGTAAGGAAGCAGTTTCGCTAATTAGAAGGGGTAAAAGTGACTTTGAGTTGAAACTAACCAGCCGAGCCAAAAAAGAGCCGAAACGCTATTACAGATACGCTCAAGCCAGGGGTCCCAATAAAAGGGTGATGGGACCTCTACAATTGGAAGGTAGGACTGTCATCGATGGCCAACAAAAGGTAGACGCCTTCTGAAGTAATGTGCATGGAGCAGATCCCGGCGACCTAGCACCGGATCTCGCCCCGTCCAACAGAGGAAACAGAATAATTATGCGTTATTAAAAGCGGTCTAAGGGATATTACCTGAGCTGAGCTGAACGTAAGTAAGTCTCCAGGGCCCGATAGAATCCACCCGGCAATCGTCAAACAGATCGCAGATATAGTAGCGGGACCACTAAGGGAGTTATACGAAGCCTTTCTAGATCAGGGCAACCTACCGGTTGCCAATATAATTAGTAGATTTAGGAAGCATGACTGCATTTAAGCTCTCTCTGGATGAACGATGGCTGGAGCTATTTTCAGAGTGAGATGTTTAATGTACTATGGAACGCCTTCTTGTCCCATGTCCCTTGTTCCCCGATGAGGTGGAAGGAGACGAGATTCTTCCTTTCCTTTTCAGCAAGGACGCCGTACTGAAGGCGATTCGCACTGGTGGATGCACACGTTGGAAGCATACTGCCGGAAGAATTCTGGACGCTGGATTGGCCGCGGCCATTATCAGTCCTGCACAATCTGACCTGATCTGACCTGTCCTAGATACGAATTGACGGGTCTGACGGAAGATGCCAATGGCCTCCTTCGCATTCGCAATTTATGCGAAGCGAGGATCCGAGGGTACAAAGAAACAACAGAACGGCATTCTAACAAAGGCACGGGAAAACCGGTTAGTTCTGTACAAATTCATGCGACAAACTCGTGCAAAACCCCCTCCGTCCTTGCCTTATCTATACCCAACGGTACTCCNTACCCAACGGTACTCCAGCCACTTCATCTGCAGAAGTGGTGGAAATGTTCCGGTCCCATTTCGATCAAACTTTTATTATCCCCTGAGCAGTCAGGCATTCTTATTTCCATTCTATAACCTACCAATCCCCGTTAGATCACGTTGTCTTGACAGTCACAGAATTGAAGGATCAAATCAGACACGTGAACTCCTTCAGCTCGATGGGTCCGGATGAAACCCATCCGCGTATACTGAAAGAATCCGCGGACATGTTGGCTGCCACATATGTCCAACCCTTTCAAAGTGCTTAGACTTAGGAACCCTTCCACAACAGTGGAAGAGAGCCAATGTTATCCCTATTTATAAGAAAGGCAATCGCCACTTGCCCACTGGCTTTAGGGCTATTAGCCTAACTAGCATTCCCAGTAAGATCTTCCAGCACCGCCTTAAACGGCGTATCTAACTGAGAACAGTTGGGTAAACCCTTCCCAACACGGCTTTCTCCCAAACAGGTCATGCATCTCCAATATGGTAACCGTAATGGATAGCTTAACCCGTGCTTATGAAAAAGGTCATATTTCGCATGCGATCTTCATAGACTCTGCCAAGCCCACAACAGATTGCTACACATTCCTCTTCTGTACAAACTAGGGAGAGATGGCATCACTGACCGATTAATTTCCCTACTCACTAGCTTGCTGTCGAACCGGTTCGAATGGTCACATCCGTTTCTTCACCCTCTTCTGTCTCAATAGGAGTCCCAAAGGGCTCCTTACTGGGTCCCATCCTATTTCTGATTTATAATAATAATCTCCCAAAACGTTTTCCAGTAGAGATTGCCATGTACGCGGATGATGTGCTTATATCTGGGGTGCAGACGTATCAAAAGTGCAGTCACCGATTGACCGAACCAAAAATTGTTTATTCGACTGGAGCTTTATTATTATTATGATGATGATGAAAAATGTGTGAGCATGTCCTTTGGTAACGCGACTGGTCAACCTTTCTAAGAAAACCGTTCAACTTCAATCCAACTGGTGGATCAGCACGAAATTCTTGGTTTCAATATCTCGTTTTCCTTCCACAATCAGAAAGCCATTAAAACCACCGTCAGCCGGTTATAAACGAAGGTGCTGAACCTATTGCTGAGGTTGTTCATGTAGTGTATTACGATGACAGAATCAGTCCAGAACGTGACGCGTTCATCAAAGATACTGAATTACTGTCACAGCTGCTGCAATAAGCGTACAGCTAACACGGCCGTGGTCAGATCGAGGCGAGGTATCCGTACGTATTTCAAAGGGGCGACCGGGCCATTGGCGTAAAGAAGTTCTGTCGTGCGCTAACCGTTCACATCCAGCCGGCATACGTAGGCTTCTGCTCCGTATCCCGTCTCGAACGCGTTGGAGAATANGCTAAGCTGGTTAGCTATTGCTCCCAGTCTTTCAGGTCTTGCTCTTCTAGTGGCTGGTCCCACTCCGCCCATTTTTGACAAAGCTGTTATAGGAAGACCTTAACCGGCAACAGCCACGATTCGACGAATCCAAGCGGGTCATACAAATTGCAGACCGACGATAGCAGTCCTCGCCGGGTGGGGTTCCCTCCGGGTAGCCGAAGTTGAGAAATGAATTCGTCTGGCTCTGCGTTCCATCGTAACCCCAAGGTCGCCAAGGTTCGATAGGGAATGGCTGTGTCGTCAAGTTGACAGCCACACTCGTTCTGTCGGTTTGGAGAACCTTGTCTAAAACTAAAGGTGAATTGATAATATTAAAAATAATAATAATAAGTGTAGATTTCACGGAGCCCGTGAGACATGCACAAGGCATGATCAAATGATCAGAGCGAGCATATGTACAATAACAGTGTAAGTACATAGAGAGACAATAAAAATGGTGGGGATCAGAACGAAAACAGNAGGTCACCGACGAATTTATGGAAGATTGAGGATGCATTGAAAATGCATGTAGCAATGGTAATGGTAAAACTGGTCTCTGAAGGATTGGACGTACGACAACAGTGCGGGGAAATACGGAGAGGCGGTCTGTGGAACGAATGCTGCCTGATGATGGAGGCATGAGGACAGGAATAGAAGGGAAGGAAAACAGCTAGAATAATACGTCGGTAAAAGAACATGTTTCACTCTATGTTGCAATACAACTCGCTTCTGGAGACAAATTCATTGGGTTCGGGGCTTCACTCGATCAAGCAGTGCTTTTAATTTTTAGATTAATTAGGCTTTGGTCGCTTTGATGTGGGACTGACTACACGCTAGACACCTAACCTTAAAACACCATGTAGGTGAGGCAGGGGGTGTGATCCTCAACCTGGTCTGGAACGCGGACGCATGTAGTCAAAACGGTAGAAACAGCCGTGCCCAACAACCATTGCCGGAGCCAAATTTTCCATTGTAGGTGAGGACCCCAAGCCTTCTGCAGGCCCAAACCAACCGAATCTGGAACAAAGAGGCGATATGCAGCAGTCTAGGGTAGTA